ACACACACACACACACACACACACACACACACACACACACACACACACACACACACACACACACACACTGTTGCACTCTGCGGTTGCAGCTCGGTCCCAGATGCCCACCCTTACCTCCCCCCACTGCAGACTGGAGCTCCTCACAGGGAAGGCGAGCAGCGTGTGACAAGCTGTTGTAATTATGCGCCTGTCTGCTCCATGTGTAATGTGTTTAGAGGCCGGGGCCATTATGTATTTTGTGGGTAATGACTTGTCCAGAGCAGGGGAGAGAGGAGGGGCAGAGGCAGCACAAGGCCTGTGTGATGATAGAAAGACATGGACAAAGACAGAAACTGATCTGGACACATTTATCACTTCGTTAACTAAATGTTGACCTTGGTGTTGCAGTCCTGTTTGAAACTAAGTTCATTAGTGTCACAGGAGCTTTTCATCTGCCTGTTAAGAGGAAACCAACAGCCTCTGGCTAGTTTGGTTGGTTGTGTTCACCACACTGAACGGTTAGCAGAGGCCAAATGAGGTATTTACATTCAAATAAAGACTACACAACCATCTCTGGCAGGCTTTATGGTCCTCTCACCACAGCTGCCAACATAAATTAAGGGTAGAAGATCCATAAAACTAAAACCAAGCTCCCAGGGCATGGATGCAAGAGGAACTGCAACCACAGGTTGATCAGATAGACAGTGTTGATTGTAGAAATCCTAACTGTTCCAGCTGAACCTGTCAGCTCCTGATGGAACTATCACTGGTTGAACCATGATGGACTCAAAGGAAGAAGAGCCAAAGGCTCTGCTGTTGACAGACAAACAGAGAAAAGTCAGACAGGAAGTTGCCAAAATGCACATTGATTTTTCTTTAAGTTTCTGCCATCGATGAGACAAAGCTAAAGCATTTGACTTTAGTCTCATCATCTCTGTGTACAGAAAACTACTGAAGTAAAAACTGTGTGGGAGGTCTTCCTCTGGGTTTTACTGCTTCATGCTGCTGTTTCAAATGTCACGTTTCTCTCTGTCCTCAGCTATCCACCATTTTTTGATGACAACCCATTTGGAATCTACCAGAAGATTCTGTCTGGAAAACTGGAATTCCCACGCCATCTGGATTTCTACGTCAAGTAAGTGCTGAAAACATGACTGGGCATGGGCCATATATTAGGGCTGGGCTGGTGATGTATTAGTATTTATTAGGTAGTAACCTGGGTAGTTTTCTGTACATTCTCTAAAGATCTGTGTCAGACTGTATGCTGATGATACAGTGGTTTGCAAAAGTATTCATACCCCTTGAACTTTTCCATATTTTGTCACATTACAACCACAAACATAAATATATTTCACTGGAATTTAATG